TGATTTAACTCAACTATCAGTTCTTAAATCACCTTAGACTGCTTTGCATGAATATGGTTTTTTTTAAGAAACTTTAGACCAGCTCACTCCAGCTGGTCTTTTATTGTGAGAAAATTCAACTATCCGTCCTTAGTTTTACTTTAAACGTTTTGGGACTAATTAATTCTGATTGAAGAAGTATTGAAAGGCTTGTAGTCTACTTTTGTCGAAAAAAACAATACATATATATTGTTATTAGAATGCATTCTGTGCAGGTTGTTACTAGGCGTTTAGTTATAATTACAAAAATCATGTATTTTTGCGTTTAAAAAATGTTTAGTTTTTGTGTGTGCGTCTGTTAGTTCGTTTGTTGTTTTATTTTATTTTTTAATCAAATTTCAATTGTCTGTTAAATCACCATCGTCGGCAGCAATAAAAACCGTTTACTGTTTCAATCGACCAATTTTGTAGCTTTATTGTTAATTTATTTTGCCTCTGTAGACACCCGTCTCGGTCGGCTCGTTCTGCGTCACCTCGCGACCGCCGCCGCCTCCTCGTCACTCCGGACGGAGCGGTCGGCCAGCCGAGGCCGATCCACTTTCTGGTGCCGCCTCCGTCCCACATTTCGGCCCGACCCGGCGACTCGGTTCGTCTCACCGCTCGCCTTCCCGCCGATCAGATCGCCGCAAGCGTCGTCTGGCAGAGCGCACGGCTCGGCCGTCTCCGGCACGGCGACCTGCTGCCGGGCGGGTGTCGAGTTCGACTCCTGCCCGCCGAAACCGCCGAACCCGTCGAACCCGTCGAGCCCGTCGAAACCGTCAAAACCGTCGAAACCGTCGAACCGACCAAGCTTGCGTCGGCCGTTTTACCGGCCGGAGTGTATCAGCTCGAGCTGGTGGGCGTCACGACGCAGCAGAATGACGCTTACACCGTCACGGTATCGCCGCGCGGAGAGCCCGTCGAGGCTGGAAATGCCGTCGAGGCCGTCTGCCAGTTGAGCGTGAAACGTAATCTTCATTATTGCATTTGCACTTTTCATGCTCCCTTTCGCCATAAACACATGCACCTGCTGAGGCAATCACGGTCCGTATGAAATGTACTTCACCTTGCCGCTAGGCACAATGACAAATCGCATTATTTTGTTCGTTTTGGCGAGTTGAAGCCTTCCAACCTCGCCATTCTGCCACAATTTGTTGGCCTAACCATCGAATGGATGCCTCATCCAAGGAGCGAATTTTACGATTTGTAAGTTACTTACTTGGGAGACCCAACCGAAAGACTTTAAGTATGCGTAATTAGTGGGGAAATTGAAAGGTGGAAAATGAATTCACTATCCCACAGAGATGCAAGGGACCCTACCGCTTATGGTTCACAAAGAGGGTGTAATGTAAATAATAAAGGAAGCGTGATGCATAAAATCTCACGGTTTTAATGCATTCAAATAAGCAATTCCGCTAATTATCGGCTATATTCAGTTAAAAATTCGTATGATTTTGTGAGATTGGTAGATCAGCAGACAATGTCAATAGAGGATAAGACAGTAAGCTTTGATGTTGTGTCTGTTTACACAAACATTCTTTTGCAAGGAGCTATTCAAGCACAAGGAATAAGGTTAACTGTAGCTTCAATTATTAGAATTATGATTCTATGCATGAGTACCACATATTTTACCTTTGATGGTAAGTTGTATGAAGAATCGCAAGGATTATCGATGGGATCTTGTTTGTTTCCCAGCTTAGAGAACAATTATATGGCAAGATTGGAGGAACACTTCCTGCAAGAGGCAATAATTACACCCAAATTGAGGGTTAGATACATGCATGACCATTTTGTCATCTGGCCTCATGGTAAGGACAATTTAAATAATTTCCTATTTTCACTAAACCAGCCTGGAAGAAGCATTAGGTTCACGATGGAAATGGAAGAGAATAAGTCCTTACCTTTTCTGGATGTTGTCATCATTAGAGAAAAGGATAAGTTAGAAAGAGATGTTTATAGGAAGCCAACATATGTTGGTTCTTTACTTAACTTTCTTTCCAATCATAGTTACAAGACTAAGGTTGGAATTTTAAAGTCAATGATTCTTAACAGTATGAGGTTAGCGGATACCAAACATTTGACTAAAGAGTTGCAACGGCTGACAAATGTATTTCTAAAAAATAATTATCCTTCTCCACTGAGGAATAAATTTTCAGACGGAGACCATTTAGTCAAAGAGACACAGACTGAGACCTTTTCCCATGTCCTAATTTTGCCGTCATGTTTTCTCTCAAAAAAGGTAGGCAAATTAGTGAAGAAGTGGGGCATAAAAACAGTGTTTAAAGAAACCGTCACACTTTCTTCTGTTATGTCATCTTTTAGAGAGAAATATGGCCCATTCTTGAGATCCAGCTGCTACAAAATTGTTTGCTCATGTGCTCGATGTTATGTTGTTGAGACATGCCGACCTATTCGACAAAGATTGGTAGAACACAAAAATGCTTGCAAA